ACAAAGGTGTATTCCTTATCCAGTGGATTAAACCCATACAAAATCTCAWTCGATAGGTAAGCAAGTCTTGTTCTAAGAAGTTTTGTTTCCATTAGATCGGTTTAGCGGTTGGAGATATTGTCAGTATACAAAAAATTGCTGCTTTAGAAAGATACTCTGCACAGGTAAGTCAATATTTTCGTCCTCTCCACTTCTCTTTTATCCTGGTCTTCATTTATCCTGATTAGTCCTTGTCATCTCTTTTTCTCATCTTTGTATCTTATTTAATTCTCTCTTTCTTCTAATCCGTTTTCTTCTACCAGTGCTCTCTATTCGCATCTTCAAACTCTTCTTCTTTCTCTCTCATCTGCTTTTCTGAGCTTCTGTTGCTCCGCCTTTTCTCTGTCCTGAAATGATGGTCTTTTTGGTTATTAAGCTATTGATGTGAAAAAGGTTTTTTCTGTGCAGAAGGGCTTCTTAACCCCAAACTTGTGGTTCCAATTAAACTCTCTTTTAATGTTAGGTCGAACAGTTGTACCATATCGAGCAGATGTTCCCACGTTTCATTCTCAAACGATGGCAAGTTAAAAGACACGTAGAGCAACCAAACAAACCAAAGACTCCAGCTCGAAGGGTATTCTTTATTTTATCAGATATTGACTCCTTGCATTTGACGTCAAAGCAGCTCCTTCTGTAGGACAAAAGAAAATATTTTTTGTATATTGTATACGCTTTTTTTACAGAGCAGAATAGTCTCCTTCACGGWTACCTGCGCCATCTTGAAAGGTAGCCGTGCCTTAACATGGAAGCGAGACAACCGTTGAGCGTGCAATGATAKATACCTGTRAATAATTGTCTGTAGGTGTGAAAGAAGGTTTCTATCATTGCACGCTCAACGGTCGTCTCGCTTCGATGCAAAGGCACGGCTACCTTTCAAGATGGCGCAGGTAACCGTGAAGGAGACTATTGGCAAAATGTTAAATTTCCGTTCTCTTTTAGCTTTACGATGTTATTGCCGGTAAACTGACCACCTCTGGATACGAGGAAGACACCAAAGAAAGTAAAATAGAGCAAACATTTGACGATCAAGAAAGAAGGTGTGCATCTAACTATCCATCCTTATCACCATGGATACCTCCATTTGATCTTGATCCATCCACTCATTTTTCTATCCGCCAATTGATCGTTTTCAAACATTAAGATGAGATTCATAAAATAAAAGACCGGCGACCATGTTGGAGAACGAACAATAGATACTAATGAGAAATCCTTTGTTGAATGAAGTTCCTCCAAGATGGCCACTGTGACTTATAGTGAAAACGAAGAATTCAAATAAAATCACTATTTTTATCTTTGTTTTCTATCTAGACTCAAATCCATTTGGAAAAAGCTGGATTTTCAATCTGATCAACTCGATCAGATGCAAGAACACTTGGAAGGAATCGCCGTCAAAATTGTTGGCTCGAAACCTCCAAAGAGCCACCTTTACGTTGATCTTGAGAACCGGCCGTCACCCCAAATGTTTGTTTGATTTGCCAGCATTCAATCAGTCTTGAAATAAATGTTTMTAGAGAAAAATATGTTCGCCTTTTATTTTCTGAAAATGTTACATTTTTTTACGTCGCGAAACGTCCTAGAGCCACTTTTTGTTATGCCATTTTCTTGGATGTTATTCGGCTTTTATTGTTGATGTAAAAATTATTTATATTTTATTGTTTTTTCGCTATTGTTTCATGTGTATATATAGCTCTTCAGTTGTAATAAATTCAAAATTGCTTGAGAATGGCATCAGAGGATGTCGAAACGTCGCAAAAATGAATCTAGTTGCGTTTGTCTTTTTGATTAAACAAAGAAAAGTTAAGAAAAATAAAATACATCAAGTTGGCGATCAACTGTTTGAATTCGTTTCGAGGGATTAAAATCTTCAGCTATATTTAGTTTTTTATTAGTTATATAATTTTCTTATCTATTAGTACAGCGGCCATGTTGATGACGTCATCAAATATGGCCGACAGAGTCGATTTTGTTCAATATTTCATATTGGAATTGGTAGTAGTTAAGTCGGCATTTATACACCCATTGAACATATATATTATTAATAGTACTTTATTCCGCTATTTTCGTAGCTATATTTGCTTAGGGTATTACGCGCAAGGCTTAAGGCAATATATCGTGCAAACAAATGAGGCATCTCTCTTCATTCGTAATGAGATTTTCTCTAATGAGACTAACTTTATCCGATATTCTATATCCTGGATTTGACAACATTAATAATGAATTTCACTTTGACTTTGAAATAGAATTGATATTGAGTGAATTGAAATAAACAGACATAAGTACGAATTACATGAAAAGCGCTTTATATTTGCAGTCGCCTATTCACGTTGAGTCTTTATAAATCCTGGCTTTCAGGGATTGAAATATATATATTTTTTAATGCAAACGACGGAAAAATAAAACAATGACGAAGAAGAAAGAAGAAAGCAGTCATCAATGGCTTGTCTTCCAGCAGAGCTTGATCGAACCAGCATGTATAGAGCAACAGCCGTGCTTTGCAAATTTGGACATCGAAATTCCCATGATTTTCCATGAATATTTTATGCAGCCTCGCTACAAGTCTTCGCTTCTTGTGGCGGAGAATGAAAAATTATCTCAGCTAAGATTTTTCATTGAAATCAAGCCTGAACTGTGAAGACAATCCTAAATTTTAGAATACAGCTAGAAGTATACCAAAAATAACATTTTAGTTAAGTCAAATAGAGTACTACTGTTGGTTATTTTTTGTTTTGTTTTATTTTTTTAGTTGTCTCAAATCCTATTATGATTTTCTTGTGTTTATTTGACTATTACACCTTGACWGTATTAAAGACAAGTAGATCCTGTTTAACGGGTTTCACATACACTCTACCTTATACAGAATCAAATGAATTTTACCGCCAGTTTCCCATAGATTGCTGTTTATCAATCAACACTTTTCAAAGACGCAGCCAATTGAGTTTAAAAGCTTCGCAAAGATCTTACCAATCAGAACACGCTTCCGAACAAATACGTAATTAACTTCAGGACGTCAGCCGGAGAGATTGTTTAGACGAAAGTAAGTCTTGAGATGTTGTTGGTCAAACAAAACCTTATGTGATTCTAATGCCTGCTTTTGAAGTTCCACGCAGGCAACGTTAGGAAAATAGCAAAAACGAAATATTAATGAATTGGGGATTTGAAAAGACGGGAAGTAAAGCCTAATTCATGACGTAAAAGTGGATATTGCGCAGATGACATTTCACTGAAATAACTGTTAAAACTCCTAGAAAAGTGACGACTACAGAAATCCARGAAAGCTTCAAATTATTGGAAATTTAGCAGTACACTACTTTTGGTAAGGTTATTCAGTAAGTAATTTTGGATTAGTCAAATAATGCCGCGAATTCCGTTTTGGCCATTGTATTCTATGGTAGATAGAGTTACTAAAAATACACAATAAACAATCTATTCAAAGCAATATATCTGATGTCATGAGAAAAATGATTTGATGAAATTCCTGACGGAAATCCTGAAGGTTTGGCAGACAATGCCTTCCTCGGAATAAGGAAATGTTTTTTTTTAAAGAAACTTATTTTTTTCCGATGTTCCTCAGGTTACAAGGAAATCATTTCCACATAACAAACGTACAATAACTCTTAATTAAAAACTTATATATGTTTGATAATCTTTTTCAGAGAGTGTTTTTTTATAAAAACATTTATAAAAACATTTGCCTGTTATTGCTTTCATTGGAAAGCAATTTATGATTTAAATATTGTGCTTGCGATGAACAGATTTAAGTAAAACATAGCTTTTTCTTCGTAAAGGACTAGTAAACTGACCAAATATACAAAAGACGAAAGAAAGTAGTGCAAATTGAGTGCAAATTTTCTCGATTTCTAAGTGAAATTTAAAGTGGGATTGCTAAACYTGTTTGGCAGAWGAAAACGCTTAAAATTAATAAAGTTAGAAGTGAAACCCTTCTTATCGATTGAAATATCTGAAATCAACCGGTTATTTAACTGATGACGCGAGATATAACAATATTATTGTCTAAGACCTTTCCACTAGTGTTATCTTATCGTTCAAAATTCGTCAGAATAGTGAAAAATAATAAAAACTAAAGGCTTTTAATTAAATGTTTTAAACAGGTGAACTCATGCATAAACATTAAAAAAAAAGAAGCGAATATGCGTATAATGGACGTAAGCTGGCGGTTTTATACATTGTAAATGATTCACTTTAACTGCATGATTTAATGTCAAAGGCGCGCRCCGGCGCAGATTATTTCTAAGCAAAGTATCTTTTTAAAGCTCAGTGCTGCAGTGTCTTCCTTCACTAATTTTTTATGCTTTTTGTTCTACTCTTGCACTTCAATTTAAGTGCTTTGAGAATCACCTTTTGGATATCTTAATTTGTACTCTATGTTTTGACAGTCTCGAAAAGTTATCAATTACATCCGCAAAGTGTAGGATGATCCCACGGCTTTTTCCACACTGACACGTTTCGGTGTTGTTAGGCAAGAAGGGGAGGTAAACCTGGGTAGAAATACTAGCAAACGTACATTTAAAATAAAGAAAAAAGTAGGAAGTGGAGTAGCTCCGCAGGCGAAAACGTCTATTGTCAGATAAAGCACTTTACATTTCATTAAATCCTCAAAACCGTGATTGAAATGACTCAATCGAGTTATAACGTGATTTTGTTCTGTCGTAGCGGTCCTGTCTTCATGCGATCGGGACGATCTCCGACATTTACATCGTTTGCTGTAATGACTGTAAATAGAAATCAGGCTTTAGAAACTTAACATCATTCTTTATAACCTCCAGTATAGGAAATTGCAGTCGCCGCGCTAAATTATTCCACAAAAACAACAAAATCAATTTCTATATTTTCTTTATGTATGCACGTATTTGGACATATTCAGTAATATTTATATAGACGGAAAAACGGTTTATGGAATATTTTGTTTGAAATAAAATAACTGAGATATATTTCCCATCATGCCTTGCGCTACAAAATGGAGTCCTGTGCTTACATGGGATATAGAGAGCTTTAAGCATGATGTTCAAACTCAAACGGTAGAAAAGATCACGTGACCTGCTTTTTGGGGTTTACCAACACTTTCAAAGCGAGAGTGGGTTATTTTCTGTATTTTGAGGCTTCCATAATCGTGAAAAGTCGCTCTTTCAAATGACTACTAAAAGTACAAGTTTGGGCACGAAATTCGTAGGTCATTGGTTCAGCTTTGCCGTTAGCCGTTTGTCGTAAATGTGATGCTAAAACTCTCTATTAAGCCTGAGCCCCAATCGTCCGACAAACGCGTTTTTCTTTGTTCTCATTTCCTCAAGGGATTTAACAACAATTTATTAGAAAACCTGCCCGATTATATGAACACGAGGCTTATTATGAGGTTTATTTTGTTTTGTCGTCTCCAAGGAAACCTACGGCGAGAGACGGAATTTATTTGCGTATCATGTTTTCAAAGTGCGCGTTGATACCCTTAAAGTAAGTATTTCGTCAAAACACTAGCTTGGAATAAACAAATTAAAACTTGCTTCATTTGGAAGCCTTTGGCGAGAATGTCGATAGTWTAATTACGATGTCATATCTTACACGCAAAACTAGATTTCGCCAGTTGATGTAAATTGCCTTAATTTTSAGTCTTTATTGCTTTCATATCATAAACTAGGATTTCAAGCTCAGATTAGCTTACGTGTGATTAGCGGTTGATAGGACGGTCTACACACGCGCAAAAGGCATATAACTTCATCCTAAAAATATCGTGGAAATACTAGCTGGTGTAATGCAAACAAATTTTAAATAAATTTGCCTTGTATGTTGATTTGTGTTGGAATTAATTGTCATTTTACCTGCTTCTGAGTTCATTTTCTTTGTTTACAAATTCAGACTTATTTTTCCAGCCTTTTAATATTTGGTTATTAATTCGTGGATCCATGAGTTTATTTCAGTRTTTATTCTTTCATCCATCCATTTATTCAATTCTCAGTTTTTAATTTATTCTTCCATTCATTTGTCCAATATTTTGTCTATGAATTCATTTCAATCTATCCATCTCTCTGTTCATGCATTCATTTATTCAGTTTCCCATTTAATTTTCAGCTTTTTCATCCTTTTATTCATTCATCCATCCATCCATCCATCCATTCACTTCCACATTCATATTTTATAAAACACACACACACATTAAACCCCGCTGAGAATCCAAGAGTACGGATGACACTATCAATCTTGTTTCTCTTTCTCCTATTGGTCAACCTCTAGTCATAAAAGAGCAATTGATGTTCTGCATTTGTTCTAGATACTTGCTTCGATCTCCCGGGTATTTAATTTGCCATTCAACCCTGACTCGTGTTCATTCAGAAGTAAGTTGGAGAAAAGCCATTGAATTCTGATGAGGTAGGTGTTTACATGTTTTCGTTGTATTTTCTTTCGTTGTTGTTCTATGTTTTAAAGCTATTGGCCCTTAGTAAAGATTCGCGTATTAAAAATCGTKTCGTTGAAAATAGMAATTACTAGATTGTGCGCAGTTATCTTCAAATTGCGATTTTTTTTACTTGCTTGTATTATCTTGTTAATTGTTAAGCCAGGTTCCGTTTTCAAAATCACAAAAAATGATGCTACTCTGTTCTTATAATCTGTGTAAGACAAATAATTTTCTGCAACTATTTGTAGTAAATTGGTATTTGTTTTTCTTATTATTGTATAGTTTAATGTATATTTTGCGTACTTTGAAATCCGAGAGTTTGAATTACTGAAATGCTTAAAAATTACTTTAAAAAATATCACTTTTGGTGAACAAAAGAGCGTTAAATTCATGCTCAAATTTCTTGCAATGTGTTTGAGAATAACAGAATAATCTATTCACAAACAACTGCACTTTTACGAATCGTCGTTAAAATCGAAAAAATTATGTCAAACAATCCTGTACTATTGCGAATCCTTGGGGATATATCCATTTTTGTGCGTTTTTGCGTGGCCTTCATTCGGGAGTGTTTACATTTCTAACTGACATTGCCATAACAGAATGATTAAGAACGACTTTGCCAACATTTATAATATCTATTGCCATTTTGGAGATATTATATTGCCCCCAAAGTTGAAATCAGAAGTGACGTGTTCTTGCTTTGCACAATTTTCGCTTTAATTCGATGTCGATTGAACTCACTAGAAGTTACATTTCTTAAATTGATTAAAGCGCTAAATTGTAATTTTAAGAATACAACGATTATCTATAACAACTTTTGTGAATTCCTTTTCGAATCGGGCAAATTAACAAGTATAATATTATTTTAGGTAAACAAGAATAACACCATTAATTCTAAGTCAAAATATATCACGCGCGCGCCTTACGGATTTCCCGCCATAAACAAATCGCCTGCTATCTTTGTTTACATCGTTGCAAACGTTCACATACATGTAATTCATTAAACGCAAGAAGTTTTTTCTCCTTCTAGAAATGGCGACTTTTGATTTCTTTTTCTTTCTTTTATATTTTTTMGAATTTTAGAAATTTTTCGGTTTGTATTTTGGGACACCACGCTATAGCAAATGCTCTCAATCAAAGCAAATGCTCTCAATAACAGTGTATTTTAGTTTTTTAAGTAATTTATATAAACATTTCAAGATTACTTTCATGTTTTGACGTTTTAGCATTTCACTCAATATTGAGCTAATTTGACCAGAACTCTTGAGCGCTCTCTTCTGCAATTCAAAGCCGCAATACTCAAATTTCCTTCAAGCGATAAAAATTATATACAGTGCCCGAGATATTGCTTTATCAATCAAAAAACGATAAATTAGACTTTCAATTCAGCAGGTGTAGCAATGATGTATAAGTAACAGCTGTTTTTACTTCAATTGGTATCATTAAAAGCAACCTTTCCTTCTTAATTACACTATTTTTTGGACCACCAACAGCTTCTAACCATTTATCGTCAACCTGGGATAACAGATTGTGAAATTATATATACATTGATATATATGCAGCTAATATAGCGAAGTATGGGTTATAGTGGGGCTTCGATAAATGCACCACCCAAAGGGGTTGTGGGTAATGGCCCTTATGGCCGTTCATTTGCTTAAAAGGCACGAAACTGAATAGCAAAAACAGGCAAACAATGCGGACGAAACGAATTAACATCGATTAAAAGATCTTTATGTACTAAAAATTTAAATGCAGTTATGATTGCATTTGACGTGTGAATAGTCGGCCATAAATACATCCCGCCACAAAGTGGTTTACATCAACATTAATCTTTTAATTTGGYAATCGTTTTTAGTCGCCATTGTTATATATTACATAACGTAGACACACTTTAAACTCAGCCAACACACAATATTATCAAGTGGTTCTTCGATTTCAAAGATACAGTATAAATATGAATCAAATAGATGTTTTAGTACCATATTTCATGCAGTCAAACCTCTATGATAATGGACACCCTCGATTAAGCGGTCACTCATGAATTCAATTCTTATGTATATTTATTGTAAAACATGACCTCTATTAAACGGTCAACCTCTATTAAGCGGCCATTTGTTCTTTCCCGAAGGTGACCGTTTAATAGAGATTCGAGTGTATATCGAACAGGTTAGTTTGAGAAACAGTTGTGTAAAAAGATAAATTAAACGCCGTAAAAAAGCAGGTGAAGTAACTAACTGACGTTTCACTTTTACTCCGACGAAGGATTAAYGTCCGAAACGTCAGTAAGTTACTTCACCTACTTTTTTACGGTGTTTAATTTATCTTTTTACACAACTGTTTCTTTAGAAACACCGACGCAGCTCACACTAGTTTACCGCTAGTTCCCACCATGTTAGTTTGAGCCTGAGGGAGATTGACTCACGTAAAACTTYCCATGAAAGTACTTAGAATAAGACCCTCTTAAGCTGATATTTTCATTTTTAAGCACTATTCCTGCTAAAATCCCAAATTAGGTATTTAATTTCCAAATTATTTCCTTGTAAATAATGAAATTTAGTACTAGTTATGAAATAAAATGAAGTAACTTAAGGACACTAATGGCAGTGTTATTTAGAAAAACCAACGCTCATACTAGCTAGTTTACCGCCAAATTTCCATCAAATTTAGTACCTAACTACTCTTTTCACTATTTTGTATGATTTCGATGATCAATTGTATCATAGTTAACGATAAACGTTTATTACATTCTATGTAACTAGCATACAAATATTGTATAAACGGAGTCAATGTAGAGGTCCCCAGTATAAAGGTGCTATTTTCCTTCTCAAAAATATAAATCCAGTTTAAGAGCTTTTGAAAAGAGCAGCTGATTTATGGCTAATCACTACTTATTTGATGTAAGAGTCTATTCAGAATGTCTATAGGAAAAAAACTAATATGTTCTTATTTGCGAGGTTAATATATTTCTAAAAAAAAAACTATCGATATGTAGAATGTTTATCAGCGAAACTTCGCACAATTGTGCTTCATTGACTACAACTTTCCAAAAATTTTAATTGAATATTATTCAGTCGTCATTGTTATTTAGGATCCCTTTCCGGACATAAGTGAAACAATAGATGTCCTCATCCTTGCCTTTTGTTGACCCATTTCAAACTCCGGGAGTAGAATTCTTTGTTTTCCATCGCTTGAAAATGTGTGACAGTAAAACAAGATTTGTGAAGCGCCATCGAGCTATAAGGAAGAACACTAGCGCTTCATTTTATAAAGTTAGTAAAATATTTCTTATATTCCCAAATAGGGGTTTGAAATAACATAGTATTTGCCTAACACAAGGGTGACAGTCTGATGAGAACATTGCAAAGAAAGTGAGCAAAGCATGCTGGTACCAGTAKTGTACATGTCGTCATCATGAATGAAATATTTGACATTATAAAATTTTTGATATATAACGCGCGCTCTGATTGGCTGACGACCGTGTTTATATCAGAGGACAGAGACACGGCTTATCGGCAAAATAGTTCTTTTCGCTCGAAAAATTTTATAAAAGAAATATAAAACGGCCGCTTGTGTCTCTGTCCTCTGATATAAACACGGTGGGAGTTGAAAAACACTCGAGAAGCAAGAGAAACACTCGCTACGCTCGTGTTCCTAAGCTTGCTTCTCTCGTGTTTTTCGAACTCCCACCGTGTTTATATCAGAGGACGACAGAGACACGCGCGCCGTTTTATATTTCTTAAACACACATAGAACTTTGAAGTAATATAACTAGTAAAGTCTATTGAGACGTGAGACGTGAGCTTTTTTCAACTCGTGCAGTAAATAAGTAGCTTATAGGTATTATTCAACTGTTAATTATTCGAGAAATTGTCGATTTTTKTGTGAAAAACATAAAMAAWTTTAAATCTTTAGAATTATTTWAAAAAACTAAAACAAAAACCACAGCCGAATAGAATGTTGAAAACGTGATAATTAAGTTGATTGACGGCGGAAATCAAAATGGCGACCATGACGTCACGAATCCAACGCACACGAAAAAACACACGGCCAAAAGTGTCGAAATTCAGATCCTGAAAGGTGCTTTGAGAGAGCAGTGCTTGAATAGAAAATTTTGATTTAGGTAAGTTGGCTATAGATAGTTTTTAAAGCCGATCGAACAACTGGATGTTACGATAAGAAAGATTAGGAATACCGAGATATCTAGCATGATTACGTAACCCGTYCGCTAATCAGACAGAAAAAATATTAGTATTATCTTTTGCCTTAAACAAAAATATTTACAGTTTTTCTTACTATTTGATATCACTGTGACTATATACGTGTTACATATGCGTTAGCAATWGGGGAAACGTCAAGTTTATGCATGACAAATAATACGTTGASCTTGGCATCAAAAATTTGAATTCTGCAGGTTGTTTTTCTTCTAAGTAATTGCACTAAGCAAAATCTGAATCTCAAAAAATAAACATTTTGTGGACTTACGTCTTTTAGACAAACTTTTAGCCGAAGTTGTAAGGATTTTATAAATGGAAAATGGATGAAAATAAGTCTTTCGCTTCATTTCAAAACATATTGCCACGCAATTGAATAATTTTTTTCGCCGCCCACAAAAGATGAGCTAAAATATATATATATATATTCATAAGTTTACGCGAAATAAAATTCTTATTTAAAAAGTGGATTTTTAAAAAAGCAGATGTCTTCAAGTGAAACGTGGGTGAGCTAAGAGGATCGAATGCATGAGAAAGTGTGAAATGACGGCCATGCAAATGCGACTACCTAAATGTAGTCTTTCAAAAATTAGTTTATTTATTTACTTTAATTGAATGCATAAAGTTAAATATRTACTGTATTTGGTTCAAGTACGATATTTGTTTTAGGTAAGTATTCGTGTTTTTTTTAAGATCGAAAGTAAACTGATACTCTGTCATTGTTGTTGTCACTGGAAAAATCGCGCGCTTTAAAGGTTGTAAATTTGATGTAAATATGATGTAAGTGTCCAAAATTCTGTGAATTTGATGTAAATGATTTCCATTAAATTTACAGAATTTTGGACACTTACATCATATTTTCATCAAATTTACAACCTTTAAAGCGCGCGATTTTTTCCAGTGTGTTGTTGTTGTATTGAAACGTTTTATTTTGTTCAGTGTTTTGTTTGAGTTTTTGTAGTTTGCTTTCGTTGTGCTTTTGGTTTTTGGCGCAAAAGTAAACTGATACTCGTTCATTCATGTTGTTATTGTTGTATTGAAACGTTTTATCTTTGTGTTTTTGTAGTTTGCTTTCGTTGTGCTTGTTTTTGTTTTTTCTTTAATACTCTGTTTTATAGTTGCATTGTAAACGTTGTATGTTTGTTTTTGTTTGTGTTTTTTCTAGGTTTTTCTTTTGCTAAGATGTTGTATCAGTCTAACTGTTCTTAAGTCGATGTTTTTGAATTGCGGTTGTTGTACAACGTTCTACATTTCTAGCCATAAACTTACCGTTGCTGTAACGTAAGATTCATGGAAAATGATCATTTTTCTTGGMCAAATTTTTCAYCAAAAMCGAGTCGTTTWKAGTCGTTTTCTTTGGCAATGCTTTACAATAATAACACTCCGAACTTAAACTTTAGAAACATGTCTTGTCCGAGCTCTCTGACAGTGCACTTACAATTATGACCAGGCTCAGGTGGAGTTTCCATTCACGTTTTGCGGTTTTCGAGTGAAACATACACGTCCTCTTCAGTTGTAGAGTAAGAGGCGGTACTTTCCAAGCAATTATTGAACACGTTCAACAAAACCTTTATTTGATTTGTAGTTTTCTTCCTGCCCTGAAGAATTTTGGTTCCTTTTGCGCTTAGAAAGCGGGCGTTCATTAACGCTTCATTGTTTCTAATTTTCTTTTCAGTTTGAGCCTTGCATGAAACTTCTTAATAAAATTATTAGTACATGCTAAAAAAGACTGGGTCTCCGCTTGAAATAAAAAAACTTCGTTCCATTCGACATTTCAATTCACATTCGCTCATTGTCACTACTCGATACCTTGTTCAAATACCCGAATTAGATCGCTATTTGTCAACCCGTTAGCTGTCAGTCAACCTAGCAAGATGCCAAACGTACTAGTCTAGCAACCGAGCCTAATATTAATAGATATTAATGCTTAAGCTTTAAGGTGGAAAGTACAATTTTTTTCAGTATTATATGCAAATTAATTGTTTGGTCATTTCAGTYAGACAGTTGGTCCGTCTGTCCATATTTTGGCGCAAGCTTTTTTTGTCGCCCTATTCTAAAACAGAGATGAACTTAATTATATATTGAAAGGCCCGTCAGGAGAAAAAGARTGTCTTTCCTTTCYAATAAATGAATRAAATGAAAAATGTCCTTYTATTTGTTTTACTCAATAAAAAATCTCAGCAATTATAATTATGCTTGTAAATAAAGACTKCTAAATGCCTTATTTGACGCAGAGTAACAGAAGAAAAATAAAAGAAGCTGTCAACTAAAACAAAATACATTTTAACACAGTTTTGACCGTTCCTTAGATACAATTATGTTGTCACGTCTTGTTTGTGAASMAGGCGRTATATGCCATTCTTTTTCGTCAAAATTWAAAGTRTSCATCCTTTTGRAGAGCTCATAACCAAGCTGTTAACAGTTTAAAACAGTTTGAACATCTAAAGACTAAATSAACCCTGCCTTATCATTGCTACATACAGCCCASGASAAAATTGAATTCAATGRCAAAACTGTTAAATGTGATGTATACGATCGCATATTTTGGCGCTGACAAGGTTTTTAAGGGTTTCTATATTTAGTTTATGTTATTCCCATTTCTGTAGTTCAATTACCAGYCATGACGAAAGCGAGAACACACATCTGTGTATGTCTTGTAAGTACCAAAGTAACTTTAAAATCTTTGTATATAGCTACTTAATTTAATGAACATTTTCGTTGAAAAAAATCTCAAAAWCTTAYGATTGTGAATCAAAARTATGCATGGCATCCCATGATGCCTCGAAGATTGAAAACTCAAAGATAAACTTCGCAATTCCTGCTCCCCGCGCGCGACCATATACTACCTACATTACAATTTAACTCAGATAATCTTCTATAAAATATCTTTCATATCTTCCATCTGCGATGTGATCGGACTATATCTAAATATATAACTATTAGGCAATAGTTGAGTTTCGCGATCTCTTTTACGCTGTATTAGCCTCAATTGTGTGCAAAATATTCAGAAGTTTAAATAAAACTCGTGAGATTTCAAACTATTTCCATTGTCTTCTACACTCACGGATCTCTTGCATTTGCACGGACTGTTAGTGAATAAAAGAATTCGTTACATGGTTTTGAGGCTAACACAGCGTAAAAGAGATCGCTAAAAGGGTCTATTCTAATGATATTTTCTTTAGGACTTTAGTAGTTTAGTGAGATTCAAACTTAAAGTCTTTGATCATAGTGACTGTATACCATTTTTGTCTCCATAGCTGGTTGTTCTTGTTTTAAAATCTTCATATTACGGTGTTTCGCAAAGCGATAAAGGTAACAATGTAATGTGATATATAATTATTTGAGTCTTTAAGGAGTGCTCTTTGAGTTAACTTTTTTTCTTTGTACRTAAAAAACTAGWTTYGAAGAGTGTTGTGYGTGAATAAGCTCCCCACAAGGGTAGYGTAAGGACTGCATTTCCCATGACGATTTGCTAAAACAAGGCGTCGCTTTATCGTTTTCAGCCATTTCCGTGGGATTCRAAAGATAAAAACCGGCTGCCATGGATGAATGAATGATAGATACTAATGAGAAACCCTTTGTTGCATTTCATCCAAAATGGCCGATGTGATGTAACAAACGAAGAATTGGTCCGGAGTAATAAATTTGACTATTATAATAAGTCAGTTTAACCTCTTTGCTTTTCCTGCCAATCTAGAAATCAAAATTGGTGTTCTTCTTCCTATGACGGGCTACTGGCCAATTGGGACTCGTATCGCGGGCTCAATTCCCCTGGCAATCGATGACATTATGTCCAGCCCCTCTCTTCTCTCCGGRTACAACATCAGCTTCAGCATYCAYAAAAGTGATTGCATCACTGAAAAGGGGATTCAAGGAATGGTGGAGTAAGTACTGACGTGTAATACTGTGATTGGTTAAGACAAWAGTTTAGTTGAAGTCGCGCGTCACRCAACCTCTCYACAGTTGCGTRACATGTGACCGAAAGTAAACACGTCTGCGAGGAATCTAAATTAAGTCATTCTATTCTGGATAAATGCTACAATTTTCGACAAGTTTATAGAAAACGGACGACTAGAAACGAGTGGCAACCAAAAACCATAGATAGAGTTAGTCTTCATTGGAAAAATATATTGGAAAATATAAAGAAGTTTAGCTTTTTACTAGACGAAAGGAGATAAATTAAAAATTCCCTAATGTCGTTTTGAATGATTCTGATAACCATAAAAGCATGCTGTGACGTCATAGTGAATGAGGGTTTTTAATTGATTGTTGGGTTGACTAGGTATAAAGACATGGACGTTATCATTGGACCAGGATGCTCTTCGGTCGCAGAGCCTGTTGCACTTCTGTGCAAGATTTGGAACAAGCCTATMATCTCATTTGCCGCCTCCTCGTCTAAATTTACAAATAAGAAGACATTCTCTACCATGGCGACGGTCACGGCGTACGGAAGGAAAAACGTCGTCTATACAACGACTTTCGTGACAAAAATGATGAAGGTTTTCAATTGGACAGGTAACAATGGAGTAACGCCATTATCAATTGCGTGACACATTATTCAGTTGCTATGGACAGGAGATATAATAAAAAGGTATATAAAGAGTATGTTTTGATATTTCTTTAGTGTGTGGTATTCTTASCTCGTCGGCGTCGGAATGGATAAATCTCGCCACTGAGGTGAACAAGCAACTCTTTAAAAACACAACGACCAAGATTCCTCTCTTTGAGACATTCTACTCCAACACAAAAAAAGAAATCTTACTAGTGAAAGCGAAAGAACGAGTCAGAGGTAAATTGGGGTTCCTGTGTCTGCGGGCTTCCTGTCCTTTTTACCCAAGGCCAGGTTTCTAATTAAGTAGGGAGTTTCCTTGATTATCGTTCGCTACAATATCTGGAAGGTTTCGGCATTTTTAGCCTTGAAATCTCGGAAATCACCTAAAAAAAAGTGTTTCTAAATTAAGGTAAGATTAGAAAGTAAGACTTTGAACGACAGTTTTTGTTTGTATGATATAAAAAAGGTTGCGAATCGAGCTTTGAGCATTAAACAAAAAAAAGTTAAAATCATTTCTAAATGTTCCGAGCTCCTGCTYAYAYATCTYTTCTATTTKTAGTGATACTATTGCTAGCTTACATCAAGGATATCACAGAATTCATGACGATCGCCAAAAGACTGAAAATGACGGACGGCGAATTCGCTTTTGTTACCATCGACCTCAAGACAGATCAATTTTATACAAACGGCAAGTGGACTGGGTACGAGGGACCTGGAACACAGTATGCCCCAGTGCTCAATGGTATACTAGATTTAAGCGTCGAAAGGCCTGTTTTAAGCGAGTCGTTTCAGGACCGTTATAAGAAGAAGATCTCTTCGTTRCCTAGTGATATACGAGCTCTCTTAATACCAAATGTAAGTAAAACCGAGTTTATTAAACTCTTAATCAAGGGGAAAAAATTACACCGGAAACCGTTGCATCGCGACTTCAATGTTCAAAAGAAATCGTTAGGATTTAGGTTTTTTTGCGACTTGGGGCGGAGTACCTGCAAATCAGCCAATGAGTGAACGAGTTTACAAAATGCTCCGCCTCTTAGATCGAAGAAAAGAACAAAATCAAAACAAACTTCGAAACGAAGAAGTAGCAATGTAACGATTTTTGCAATAACACTCAATAAAAATAAAATCGTTTGGAAACAAATTTCTTAAATTTGGGCAGAATTATTCTTCGAACTTCCAAGCCCCTCGCTGCCTTTGTATCAAATTGACGAGAATAAGAATAAGTTTGCAATTTKGGCTGCGGATAATAATTTTCTGTAAACGAGAAAGGTCTTTTTCATTGCACGCACGCTGTTTATCTTACTTCGATGAAAGAGTTAAGGATATTGCTCCTAATGCCACAGGGAGTGTTGAATTATTAAATGCATTGCCTTGAATGTTTTTTTTTTAATTGCCTTGAATGGTTGAGCTGCCTGAGTTTATATGCAATTTTGTCCAAGAAAGCGATGCCAAAACACAGCAACCTCGGTTTCAGAGGCTTGTCTTATATTCTTTTGGCTTACTATTTTTGGTTATGATTAAGAATTAAAGAATTGATAATAATAATAATATATATTATTAATAATTTTCAATAATTTTGTATGTAGATATCGTGGTATGCGTCGTTTCTTTACGACTCGATATGGCTGGCCGGAAGAGCGTTCAATGCTTCAATTAYACAAGGCTACAACATCACTAATACCGAGTCTGTGGTTAAAAACATCTTTGATAACAGTTTTACAGGTAGGCGGAATAATTATCGACAAGATAATCAAATTAATTTTAAAGAATACAAACAAAACACTCACCTGTCATGGCGGACTTCCATTCACAACTTCCCGGCAGACCTTGCGGACAATAACACAGGGAACCCGTACATATGAACGTTTGAATAAATGGATAAATAATGACTGGGCAAAGGATGAATGGATTAAAGTATGTATATTCGAATGAATGAGAGAATATATAGATAGAAAAAAAGAATTGCTAGCAATAAAAAATAAGAACAAAAATACTGCATGTACGAATAAACAAATGACTAGTTTGACGAACAAAAATTGAAAATATAAAAGAAATGTAAAATAAAAGAATGGAAACAAAATGACAGATCATCTTATTTTTCCCCCACCCTCCCCATACTAAGTCCAAGGCAATGTRTTTTTCAGGACAATCTGGTAGAGTCCTCATTAGTAACGGTAGTAGAGTCCCGAATTTCGTCCTCGGCAATATACAACAAGGACGGTACGCTTTT